GCTGTGGCCATTCCGGACCTCACCTAGTGCTGTGCTGTGGCCATTCCGGACCTCACCTAGTGCTGTGCTGCTCCTTGCTGCTTAGGATGATTCAAGACAAGCTTTGGGAATTCATAGCCAGGATTTCCCAGAGTTCCCTCCTATAATAGTATTAATTCCTACTTGGCATACTGTCATTTACAGCGCATCAGACTTGTCTGTATGCTGTCTTGAGCCTAACTCCCTGAATTAAATGGGGAAGGCCTGAATTAAATTGTGTTTTTATTTTATGCATATGGGTGTTTGGCCTACTGTGCATCTACACCACATGCATGCAGTGCCCAAGGAGGCCAGAAGAGGGCGTTGGATTCTCGGACCTGGAGTTAGAGATGGTTGTGAGCAGCCATGTGGGTGCTGAGAATCGAACCCACGTCCTCTACAAGAGCAGACAACATCCTCTCTGTAGGCCAAACTGACCTCAAACTTGTGACAGCCCCCTCCTTAGCCTCCTGAGTGCTGGGATTACAGCTGTGTGTACTCCCTTTTAGGAAGGCCCGGAGGACCCCATTTCACACATAACAGAAACAGGTGCCAAGGGGTTAAATCACCCAAGAACCTGGCGCTCATTTGCAGCCAGAATGAGGTCCCAGCTCTCCGTGTCCTGGTCCAGCACCGGGGACCCCTTGGGTCTTCCTGTCCGTCTATACACATGTCAGTTTGGAATGGCGTCTTCCCCGCTCCACTTTGTGTTGGCCGAGTTTCACTTCCCTTGGATTTTGAGAAGTCTCTGTTGTCTTCTGAGTCCCACTGCTAATCGCTGCCTTTCTTTTCTTGATCTCAGTGAAACTGTTGCCAGTGGACTGCGAGAGGAAAACAGATGAGGTGAGTTTCTCTGCCGTTTTTACTCTTCGAAGACTCGAGCCTCTGCCGGGAGGTGAACCCCCAGGTCATAATAGGATCCTTTTCAGGGAGAGCTTCCCAGATTGTACCGGAATCACATCGTGTTCTGTGAGGTCTGTGTCAAACTGAATATGGAGGACTGAGCTCCTCAGATCCAGCCCTGGGCTTCTTACAGATGCTCGCCTACCAGTGGGAGTATCCGAGGCCTCTAATCTTCTGTCTGAGTCGGTTCAGGGTGCTGGGGGTTGGCTCTCCAGCCCACTGGTGTGGAATGCAGGGCTGCTGGTGGCTAACACGAGATCACAGGGTTGCCTTTCCTCTGGTGTGCATCTGTCTTCCTGGCAGTGTTTTGATTGCAGATTTGACACATCAAGGGGCCAGTTGAGGGGAATTAGCCCTCTTAGCCCATGTTTCGATTTGTTTTATGAAGCCCTCACATTCCCCACAAATAATGTTTAGGGAAGGAGAGTGGCCCCGGCCTATGAATCATGTGACAGCATTCACGCACAGCCAGGAAGCCAGTTCTGTGATGGTCTGAGGAAGAGAGGAGGCGGTAAATTTTCAGGTCATAAATCCACCAGGAGGAGGTGCGTGTTGCTAGAGGGCATGACTTAGTGCTCTAATTATTAAGTGTGGGTGCCAGGCCTCTGCAGCCAGGGGCTAGCAAAGGTAGGGCGCCCGCATTGGCTCTTCTGTTAATGAAGGGCGGCCTGCTGCAGATACCCTGGTTTTATTTCCTTTGCTTCTGACATGTCCCGTTTGCGGGTGGTTTATGACCTTCCTTTATTGCTGTCATCCACCAAGCATTTTTGCTTCCCAGTTGTTCTGTGAAACCAGGCTCGTAATAAGTTTAATCTGCTCTCCATCATAAAGCTGGCCTGGTGATTACACAGTGCACTCGAGAAGCAGCAGCCAGAGAGAGAACAAACGCAGGAACAGGAAAGCTAGAGCTTTCCACCAGGACCCTCTCAGTCCTCGTCCTTCAGGGTCCACAGAGGTGGAAGACCTCAAGTGAGGGGCACAAGACAGACGCCCTGCAGGTCCCTGCTGGACTGTGCCAAGCTGCTCCCTTCCGCTGACTGGTGCTCTCGGCTTTGGGCTCTAGACATTGAGGATTTGTAACCAATCCCGCATCTGGGATAGGACAGTCATAGCCACACAAGATTCATTTTCTGCTTGCTTTGGGCACCCTTGGCCTTCATGGCAGGTGGGCCCAGGAGCAGGCAGGCAGGGACATACTTTTTGGCCCCAGTGAGGTTCTTGCTGAATTTCTTTTGGGTTGCCTGGTTCACTCAAAATCCAGACAAGTATTTAAGTATCAGATAAGTATCGTAGTCTTGTCGGCAGCAGAGGGTTCTGACACTTTCTCTTTCTGCCTCTGCTGTGGAGAATGTAGGGACAGGCTGGGAGTGGGTGTGTTGTCTTAATCAGGCCGTCTTCTGTCTGGTACCATCTGCCTGTTTTCTTTGGGTCATGTCAGCCTGTGCAAGTGGTTTGTACGTGAGTTCACATGGAGTTCCCACTGTAGTCCACAAGCAGTTTGTATGTGAGCTCACATGGAGTCCCCACTGCAGTCAGACAAGTGGTTTGTACGTGAGCTCACATGGAGTCCCCACTGTAGTCCACAAGCAGTTTGTATGTGAGCTCACATGGAGTCCCCACTGCAGTCCCCACTCAGGCAAGGCCCCATGCTTCCCACGGTCACTGACGTTCTGCACTGTCCCCTCTAGTCTCTGCAAGCTGTGGTACCATTCCTTGCTCTTCCTTCTCAGGAAGTCAGGCTAGAGCCATGGGTAGCCATCCCTTTGCTACTGTCTTTATGCCGCAGAACCGACTGTCCCCGCCAGCCCTCTACAGATGTATTTCTCCCGTCTAGAACTAGGAGGTGGGGCTGAGTGTGCACAGTTGGTGAAGTGACCCCAGTGCGCTTGAAGCCCTGAGCCCAGTCTCCAGCGCTGCATACGACAGGCTTAGCACAAGACAGTGGAGCAGGAGGAGCACAGAGATCAGCCTAACTACATGACCAGTTCACGGCCAGCCTGCTCTACATCACACTGCCCTTGTCCAGATGGACATGGCAGCGTGACTGAAGACCCAGGCAGACCCTGGCAGACCCTTGACTCTTCTGCCTTTCAGTTCTGCCAGGCCAAGCAGAAGGCGGCCTTGCTGGAGCTGTTACACGAGCTGTACAACTTCCTGGCCATCCAAGCAGGTGAGTAGTCCCCAGCCCTGCAGTGCCCCCCAGCCCTGCAGTGCCCCCCAGCCCTG